TCTCAGATTCTCCAGCATCTGCAGTTCCTACTATCTCTTTAAAAAAAGGTGTTCTGTCTTAAACAACTCAAATACAGATTATAGTGAAACTCTTATTTCTGCTGATTTATTCTTTTTGAGTTGACAGAGTATAAGTTGCAGATTCATATATCAAAAGACATCTGTAGGGGTGGACCAGGAGAGGGAAGAATAATAAGAAAAAACAAGTTCTTACACAGTTTACAGATAAATCAATCTAGAGAACTACAGACTTGCATTGGTTTACTTGTATAAGACAGTTATGTTTGTTTGGGTTATTGAGTCAACTATTATAATGCAGTATGGCATACTATGAATTTCTGTATTGGCAGGACTAAAGCAAACAAGAAGATTGGAAATAATTAGACACTTATTTCAGAGAACTGACAGAGGCACACTAGGTCTAATGGTGTGATTCTATGCTGTATCGTTCTCATTTACTATTTGTACTGGGACTTGCTGCCATTTCAGATTTCAAGTAGAAGAGAAATGGAAATTATAATGGATTGCGGAAATAAATCATTTGCTCCTACTTCTGCTGATATACCAAAATAACATATCACATTCATGAAAGTATGATGTATTTCAGGTAGCACTTTATTTGGAAAAAGTTTGAGGAGAAAAGTTCTATCACATTCACATAGCATTTATTTCAAATTTCAAATGGAATGGGAGGTTATCTGCATTGAAAACTCTATATTAGCATTTGTTTGCATAATCAGGTAGAGAAGGCTGTGGCAGAGTCTAGTTCTGTAATGGTGGAAATTACAATATCAAATACATTTTATACAACAACATTTTAGTTGTGTTCCAAAAATAAGTACAATCATGGGGGGCAAAAGAAAATGCAGCAATTCCTGCTCTGTTAAAGACATCACCACATTTCCTCATGCAATCACCCACCAGCATTTTCATGAATGGTCTTGGACAATAACAATTCTGGAGGCTAATCAAATATGCAGCCACAGCTAAATAAATAGAAGAATGAAGCACGAGTTTCAAAGTAACAGACTAAGCAGGAACTGAGGCTGACCTTTCTCCCTTCTAGCTTTTTTAATAGTAGTAAGATGAAAGGTACAAATTTATCACTTTTATGAAGTATGCACATTGAAATTTCATTTTAGATTTCAAACTTAGCACTAATATTGCAACCTTCTGCTACAAATTAAAACTTAACAAGCAAATGTTAAACATAACAAGCAAAGTTTTGGTTTTGTTTCATTGTTTAATCACAGTAGACAGACTGTGTTGTATCTCTCAGTCTCTAGGCACAACCCAAGTTTGAAAAAATAAAAAATAATAATTGTGTGCATTTCTCATGGATCACATTCACTTACTGTTGCACTTCACCCAAATCCAAATGATAACATGCAATGTGGCTATGTTATATCTGATATCAACATTGTGGACGAACAACTAGTTTTGCAGTGTTTACTTCATTATTTTAAGTGTTTCTAGTTACTATTGATTTATCTTAAATTAATAATTCTTTTGATTATACTAAAACATTGTAAACTAAGGTGGGAGTGGGGCTTGTTCTCCATTCCCCCCATGGACAGAAATGATTCTACAGTGGCTGATAAATAGCCCTCTGTTTATACTTAACGGCTTCATACTTCATCTACGCAAATATTTATAGCAAGACGAGATAGTGTGTATTGGACAGTTGCTCAACCCTTCAAAGAAAAAGGGTTCTCAAGCATGAATCACTGGATAATCATAAACAGCTCCTCTTGTCAATAATTAACTTCTCTCTTCCAAATGCCACATTGCAGGTTGAGATCAAACAATCAAACCCGGGATCTGATGGCCATCATGATTAAGTACTACATCAAGGATTATTAGGGAATTCAAATCAGTTTTGAAATCTAGGACTTTACAGAAATCCTGATGTATAAGCAATACTTCTTTCCAAAGTATTTGCTAGGTATAAACACCAATTAAGGTACTCCCACAACAATTATTACTGGATAGCCCTTTCATAGCAGAGCTGAATTTATCCATTAAGATGTGACTCCACTATGTCAGGTAACAAATTAGTCTGACTCAACTAATTTATTATTTCTGATTGGTCCATTTATTTCAGCTGATCACAATCTCAAAAGACGAAGTGTGTGCATATTCTATCATTCTAAGGAAATAGTCTTGAGAAGCAAAGTAGCCCTGACTTGAGAAAAAATATAGTTAAACAGAAACGTCTTAATATTAAAATCAAGTACAGGAAATCCAGACTATCGCATTTTATCTTGTTGGATTGTCTATATGAAAAATGAAATTAGCATACATTTCGTTCAGTTGATTTTGGATTAGCAGAACCATGCACAGAACCCAACAAAATTCTTGCAGATAATTGAGAGAACAGATACTGGAAGTGCAAATAAATCAAGCTTGCACTACAATACAAAATTCCAAACTGCTCAGTCACATTTGTATATTTTAGCACAACAGTCCCATACTTTGGCTGTAATAAAGCAGCATTTTGTACCAAAGTAGTGGAAATTCTATTTTAATAATCCACTTTACCACATCTATGGATATCTTAAAAAAAGAACATGCATTTCACATTTTAAAAATAGTGCTACACTAATACTTTAAAAAAAAAGTCATAATCAAAGCCTTTGGTGAATATAAAAAATGTTTTGTCAATTTACAAACATAAAAACAAATCAATTAAATATTCTGCAGTCCCTCATGAATGTTCCCTGTCCCAAAGTCTGTTAAATGCTACACATCCATTGTAGTGTTTTTGTTCCAGCCAACAGGAAGTTTAACTTCGAGGTCACTTCTTCCCTTAAACATACTATTGTTGGCAGTTGTGTAAAGTCCTGTGAAATTCATGCTGTGTTTCAGGCTCTCTGTTTTATTTGAGCAAAATGGAGATAGAGCCAGAGGTAGCCCTATGTCCCTACATCCTTTAGCATCAAGTTCAGAGTCAGTAGCAGAATACTGAACTGAGGACACAGTTTTAGAAAAGTCATCCTTTTGTCCTTCATTTAACGAAGGTGAAATATATGCTTGTTTTCCATTAGTGTTTTCCCTTGAAGAATTAAAGGAAACAGTCCCTGACTGCAAACCACAACTGTCATTTTGCAATGGTAGATGGGTGGGTCTAACCAACTTTCTAGGGCTATGGAGCTTTTTATTGGTATTTATAGGTTCCAGATGTTGTTTAGAAGTAGATAAGTTTTGAACTGGCAACTTAACAGAATTAGATTTATAGTATAAACTCAAATCTCCTCCCAGGCCAACGTGCTGAGCACCCAAATCTGTATTGAAAGGACAGAAAGACTTGGAATCTGTATTTCTCTTATCTGAAGTCAAAGGCTCCTCCCTATATTGAAGAGGCTGCTGCTCCAAGCAATTTGAAATGTTCGTGATCTCCCCAGTTTCCAAAGAAACTGTCTGACCACTTATTTTGCCAAACCAATGAGAAGCAGATCCTTTTTTACTGTCCTGCTTGTACTTAGGAACATCAGGAGACTGTGGGGTGCTCTTTGACGCTGCAGTGACCTTTGACAGGTATAAATCAATGAGTCCAGGTTCCAAGCTGTCAGTGTCAAGGGACTTGCTCCTTCTATTAAGGGATAACGGAGCCGGCAATGACGGACTTAATTTATAAAGGCTAATGTGACGTGGAAGACTGGCAGCACCCCAACAATTGCCAAGGAAGGAATTCTGGGCACAAACGTGAAACATTCCATCATCACAACGGTGATAAAGCTCTTTCTCCATATAATTACTGTCAAAGGTCTCATAAGATGCAGAAATTTCCTCATCCGTGACCATTTCACTCTGCTGGTCACATTCACCTTCATTCTCAACATCTACAACATCAAATGTTACCATAGCTGGCAGAGCATGTATATCCTGTGCGAAGTGTGAACCCGAATCAGAACTCCCAAGGCTATCGGAAAGAATAGGATAAAGTTTTCTATTAGCTGTGAATTCAACTAAAGCCTGAGAGTAATTGATAGCTTGTTCACATTGCTCCTCGGTCTTTTCCACTACATTACAGGAAGAGGCATTTCTGCAGGAATCATCAACTGCACCTTTGACACATGTACTATCCGAAGCTACATTTTTCATACCTCTATTCTCAACTTCTTTCATTTGTCGTTCCCATTCATCACAATTCTTACTTTTGTATCCTTGTATGTAGTTCTCCCCCGACATCTTATGTTGAAGCTTTGTAATGCTGTAACTTCCACACACACTCTGGCTGCTCACCATGTATTTATTATTGGCTTCTTTTAAACAGCTAGATCCCTGAAGATCTGTCCAATTCTGCTCATCAGCCACATTTGTCAAGTAATCATCTTTCACCTTCCCACTTCTGCTCAGACAATATGAAACAAGTGGCTCTGTGCTCACACCATCTTGTTGGCTTTTGACAATAATATTGTCAGCTTTTGCAGCAACGTTATTAAGTTCAGTATTGCGTACATCACCAAAGAACATGTCCTTTCCTTGAAAGGCCAGGCCTTTTTCAAGTGCTGTCATTCCACATGGTTCCCAACAAGTCAGCTGCTGCAAGTGAGCTAATCTGATTCCATCTTCTTGAATAAAATCAAATTTGTCTTGGCCTGAAGGAAGCAGAATATTTTGCTTGTTTGGAATATGAGAAACATTTACATCCCCTGGCACAGGAAAATTTAAAATACCTGTCAAAGAGATTCCCAAAGAAGGAGACTTTGTTTCTAAAAACTTTTCGTCATTGGGAGGGGAATTCATGAGACTATCGTTCTGCTCAACAAAGAGCTCATACAAAGCATCCCCACTATAGCTATCCCTTGGAAGCCGTTCATTTTTGCTTTGGCTGATGCTATCTCCCTCTTCCTCATCATGTCCTGGAGTTGTAGAGTCATAATAACCTTCATCGCTATTTGGTGCCGATTCTTGGTGGTCACTCTGAGGTGTCACCAGTTCACTGCTGTTGATTGCACTATCAGCAGTCGCCCTCAGAGCACAAGGATCTGTGAGACTGATATGCAAGGCAGAGGGTTCAACATCGCTGGGCGATCTTGGACACTCACCTCCATCCTCTGCTATACTCTGATTGCTATCGTAGACTACAGTTGCTCCTGTTGCTTTCATCCACAATGCTTTAAGGTATTCATCATCCACCTCATCTGGAGTTGCCATTTCTTCCCCACCACCCTGGTAGGTGACCAAACATGAGCTTCGCTTCCCAGCTGTTCTGCCCCTCTCACCAGACACTGTACTTTCAGCAATGCTATCATCATCATGGTCAGCAGTAATGTCCCCACATCCTGTCAGGGAATCAAAGCTCTTCAGCGAGGTGACATCACCAAAAATTAAGTTGATGTGATCAAAAGAATGTACTGAAGGTGGATCATGGTCTAGGCATTTAGGTTTTACAATATCTGGCATGCTACCAAAACTAGTGTCCATGTTAAGAATAACACCACCCGCCTTCCCATTTAATGTCTTAATTTCAACTGGACTGGCTTTCCTTACCTCTGCACAAGAGGTCTCAAAATCACATCTTTTATTTTTCAATGAATTTTCTATTTTAATGGCACATGATTCAAATGAAGAATTTGTACTATTTGTGGTCAAAGTTTTATCGATTGAATCACCGGTCACCGAATGGTTCATTTTACATGCAGACTTTAAATCTAGCTCGCCCATGCCCCTTTTAAATTCAGCACACACACCTTCCCCTCCTGCTGTCATTTGTTCCATATGTGCAAAATCAGCAGCAGCACAGTTGCTGTCCAATGGATTTCCTTTAGCAGGATCAACAGCTTTGTTCTTTTTGTGACGCCTGATACTGCTAAACAGACCCCTTAGTCCCTTCTTTGACCTTCGCACACTCGAGAGCTTGTCTGCGCTCTGTTTCTGAGCAAACCATTCAGAGTTCTCTGATTGTAGTGATTCACCTTTACGGAGATTAGAGTTTACATTGTTATCAAGTGCCGAGTGCTCACTTTTAGAGCCACATAATGTTCTTGCTGCAGCAGAGTTAGAACTAGGTGAATCAGTATATCCACTCCATCCAGTATCAGGGCTTTCTTTCTGGTTGATATCCAACACTACTTCACTTATGCCACTGTGAGTTTTGCTTTTGGCGATTCCCTTTTTGGACAGTCCTTTCACTTGTCCTTTGTTCTTTATTGTGAAAAAGCTAGGTAGTGTGCAAATGTTCTTCCTTCCTCCAAACAGTTTCAATGCCGTTTTCTTAAGCTTCCCAGAAGACTGTTCAGCATCAGTGGTATTAGTACACTCTGATGATGCATGCACAGCTGCTCCCTGGATCTGGTTCCCTCTGGCAAGTTCCCCATGGCCTGGAGACAAAGGCTTTGTTCCAGCTGTCTCTTCATTGCTGTCAGTTTCCATGGCAACCGTATCTATACACAGGTGTAATCAGCTGTAAATTGGGTTAGATAGACAAACACCCAAATTGCTGCCACAAAGTCTGTATACCTGCTCAACCATCATTGTCCTACAAAAAAAAAAGACAGAAATCAAGTTATAAACCAAAGGGGGGCATTTTCCACACATTCATTATTGCCTGTCGAGCCACTCTCTTGAGGCCACTGTCAGAATTTAACTTCTGCATGGAAACTTCAACACTGTTCTATCATCAAATAAGAGAATCACTACTCAAGACAAAATCTTCCATTTAAATTTTGCAGCACTATAATTTAATGAAAGGTCATCACATTTGACACTATAGTTATACATAATACAACGGAGAGATAATGCTAATAAAATAGCCACAGTTAAAACAAAACATAGTTGTCCTTTAATTTTTCCTGCACACTGTAAGACTATATGAAATAGGAACTAGTCCGTTCAGCCCCTGGGGCCTGCTCTGTCACTCAACAGGATCATGGTCGATCCAATATTTCTCACATCCACTTTCCTGCACTTTTCCGAGAACCTTTGATTCCCCTAATGATCAAGAATCTATCTCAGCCTTAAATACGCCCAAGGATTCTACAGCTGTCTTGTGGCAAAGATTTCCAAAGACTCTCAACCTTCTGAAAAGAAAATCCCTCTCATATCATTTTTAAATTGACGACTCTTTATTCAGAGACTATGCTCCCTGAATCTGGGCTCTCCCACCAGGGGCAACATCTTCTCAGTACCCACTTATTCCAGCCTCTTAAAAATCCTATATATTTCAATGAGATCACTTCTCATTCTTCTAAATTTAAATGAGTAGAGTTCCAACCTGTTTTACCTTTATTTATATGACAATCCCTCTGTAGTAGGGATCATCCGAGTGAAACCTTCTCTGAACTGCCTCCAATGAAACAGTGACAACAAGATGCAGAGCTGGATGAACACAGCAGGCCAAGCAGCATCAGAGGAGCGGGAAGGCTGACATTTCGGTAATAGACCCTTCATCAGAAATGGGGGAGGGGAAGGGGGTTCTGAAATAAATAGGGAGGGAGGGGGAGGCGGATAGAAGATGGATAGAGGAGGAGATAGGTGGAGAGAAACAGACAGGTCAAAGAGGCGGGGATGGAGCCAGTAAAGGCGAGTGTAGGTGGGGAGGTAGGGAGGAGATAGGTCAGTCCAGGGAGGACGGACAGGTCAAGGGGGCGGGATGAGGTTAGTAGGTAGGAGATGGGGGTGCGGCTTGAGGTGGGAGGAAGAACAGGTTAGGGAGGCAGGGACAAGCTGGGCTGGTTTTGATATGCGGTAGGGGGAGGGGAGATTTTGAAGCTTGTGAAATCCACATTGATACCATTAGGCTTTTGGGTTCCCAAGCAGAATATGAGTTGCTGTTCCTGCAACCTTCGGGTGGCCTCGTTGTGGCACTGCAGGAGGCCCAGGATGGACATGTCGTCTGAGGAGTGGGAGGGGGAGTTGAAATGGTTCGTGACTGGGAGGTGCAGTTGTTTATTGCGAACCGAGTGTAGGTGTTCTGCAAAGCAGTCCCCAAGCCTCCACTTGGTTTCCCCGATGTAGAGGAAGCCACAACGGGTACAGCGGATGCAGTATACCACATTAGCAGATGTGCAGGTGAACATCTGCTTGATGTGGAAAGTCTTCTTGGGGCCTGGGATGGGGGTGAGGGAGGTGGTGTGGGGGCAGGTGTAGCACTTCCTGCGGTTGCAGGGAAAAGTGCCGGGTGTGGTGGGGCTGGAGGGATGTGTGGAGTGGACAAGGGAGTCACGGAGAGAGTGGTCCCTCCGGAAAGCAGATAAGGGTGGGGAGGGAAAAATGTCTTTGGTGGTGGGGTCGGATTGCAGATGGCGGAAGTGTCGGAGGATGATGCGTTGGATCCAGAGGTTGGTGGGGTGGTACGTGAGGACGAGGGGGATTCTTTTTTGGTTGTTATTGCAGGGACGGGGTGTGAGGGATGAGTTGCGGGAAATGCGAGAGACACGGTGGAGGGCGTTCTCGACCACTGAGGGGGGTGGGGGGAGTTGCGGTCCTTGAAAAACGAGGACATCTGAGATGTACGGGAGTGGAATGCCTCATCCTGGGAGCAGATGTGGCGGAGGCGAAGGAATTGGGAATAGGGGATGGCATTTTTGCGGGAAGGTGGGTGGGAGGAGGTGTATTCTATGTAGCTGTGGGAGTCGGTGAGCTTGAAATGGATATCGGTTTCTAGGTGGTTGCCCGAGATGGAGACAGAGAGGTCCAGGAAGGTGAGAGAGGTATTAGAGATGGTCCAGGTAAACTGAAGGTTGGGGTGGAAGGTGTTGGTGAAGTGGATGAACTGTTCGAGCTCCTCGTGGGAGCACGAGGCAGCGCCGATACAGTCAATGTAACGGAGGAAGAGGTGGGGTTTAGGGCCAGCATAGGTACGGAAGAGGGATTAATCCACGTAACCTACTAACCTCATCCCGCCCCCTTGACCTGTCTGTCCTCCCTGGACTGACCTAACTCCTCCCTACCTCCCCACCTACACTCACCGTTACTGGCTCCATCCCCGCCTCTTTGACCTGTCTATTTCTCTCCACCTATCTCCTCCTCTATCCATCTTCTATCCGCCTCCCCCTCTCTCCCTATTTGTTTCAGAACCCCCTTCCCCTCCCCCATTTCTGATGAAGGGTCGAGGCCCGAAACGTCAGCCTCTCTGCTCCTGTGATGCTGCTTGGCCTGCTGTGTTCATCCAGCCCTGCACCTTGTTGTCTCAGATTCTCCAGCATCTGCAGTTCCTACTATCTCTGATCCAATGAAACAGTGTTGTTCTTTAAATAAGGGAACCAAACTGTGCACAGTACTCCAGATGCAGTTTCACCAGTACTTTGTACAGTTGCAGTAAGGCTTCCCTCTGATACCAACCCTCTTGAAAAAAAGAACATTCCATTAGCCTTCCTGACTACGTCATGCACCTGTGTGCTAGTTGTGTTTCGTGCACAAATTGCTGAAAACTGTAGTTGTTAAGACAACAATGGCACCATTGCCTTTGGGACTATACGAATCTTATGTTCAACGATATATCCTTTAATCAATGTAACAAAACAATTGCAAAGGAAAAAAGTGAATGACAGAAGGTAGTAGAGTAAACTGAAGTCAAATCAGTGAAAGAGATTGGGCTAAAAAAGAACAAAAAAGGGATATAATTTTTAGGAAAAAAGAACACATCTAGGAACAAGTTATTACCTACTGAGTTGAAATTCCGGTTTCATTGTTCTTTTTTAGGGTTCAATAGTCAGGCCAATAAAACAGATCATTAGCAGAGACTTTACAACGTGGATTACAACATTAAATGGATACAGTAAAAGCAGTTCATTCACAATGCAGATCCAACAACTTTATTACATCCAAATGAACTTCAAGTTGGAGGCTAGCGGCAAGAGGGTAATTTGTTCGGTTTCAGCCTGTGGCACTTTTCTAATGAAGCTCAAGGGAAGCTTGAGGAACAGCATGGTATATTTTAATCAGTTTACAGCCTTCCAAACTCAAAGTCAAGTTCAACAATTTCTGATCAGAACCATTGCTCCCATTTTTGCAGACATCAGCAATAGATAATGCTTATTTTCTGCCATTTAACCACCTCTGAACCCTTCTCTAATTTTATTTAGTTATCCTAGTAGTATCTCCCTTTGACTTGCACAATCAACCCTTCTGTCATTTAATAACTACTGCACTCCACCTGATCAAACTCATTTGTTTCTTTGTCCCCTTCTCCTTGCCCTTGAATTTGCTTAAAATGTGTTACATCTGTTTCCCAATTCTAATGCACGTGCTAGAACCTGAAAGGAAAACTGTCTCTCCCTTCTCCACAGGTGCTGCCTGGTCCGAAGATTTTCAGCATTTTCTGCTTTTATTTCAACATCCACTTTTGTGTCAGTGGTAATTAGTAATTACTAATTAATAAGTACACTGACTGGAGAATGTAATTACAAATTTATGAGAACAGTTTCTATTTTAACTATGGGCACAGAATCAACAATGGAAACATAAAAATATCAGTAACTTATAACCTTAATCTAGGCTTGAAATTACAGCAGCATCCCTTGGCCTAATTAATGCATCCTGTCAGCATGCTTCACCTAAAACTTATACCTCCCATGCGCAACACCACAGGAAATAAAAATCAAACAACGAATATTAAAATTGGATTTTTTCCCCCTTGGAAGAGATCAGACACTCATAATCAGAAACTTCATAACAAACACATGACAATGTTTTAACATATTATATGTACTAAATAATCCAAAATTATCAAATGGCCAAAATTTGCACAGCACCAGTCTGCAAAATAATCCACTCATCTTGTACAAATAGAGGGAAATTCCACATTCCCATCATATACTTCACTACAATCCTGAAGTAAATTTGACAATCCGTTAATATTTTTGCAACATGACTTTGTTCCATTCTTTTAAAATCCTTTTAAAAACCTAACTTGCTTCCAAACTCTTGATGCTCCATCAAAGCATAAGGGGCCCTTATGGTGCAGTGGAGTGTCCCTATCTCTGATTCAGAAGGCCCAGCTTCAAGCCCCACCTGCACCAGAAGTGTGGAAGAACTCTCTGAACGTCAGTTAGAAAATACTTAAAACTGTCAGCTGGGGTTCAAGCAACTCAAAAATACAAATCTGCATAAATAAAAAAATGCCCCGACAGTTCCAGACTTCATTCATTTTACACTTGCGACAGAAGGCCAAAATTAGGCAGCCGATTCTTACACGCAAGTAAAAGTTTAGTGCCTCCTAGGAGGCATCACAGTTAATATCAATCTTGTTGTCATCCAACAGCACTACACTTCATGTACTGGACAACTACCAAGAGCAAAATCTCCAGCAGTGCTTTTCCAGCCTTTGTTTAGTGACAGGTATAAACATAGCTCCCATAATGTAAACATCTCTGCAAAAGTAAACAGTTTAATTGAAATAGCACCTTTTCAGACTGCAGGACGTTCCACAGCACCTTATCAGACTGCAGGATGTTCCACAGCACCTTGTCTTCAATTAAGTACATTTTTTGAAACACAGAATGCTGGAGAAACTCAACTGGTCTGGCAGCTGAGGAG